GTTGGTCGACTGCTGGCGGCGGGCCGTACCGACGGCACGGTGATGGTTTATGACATTGCCACTACCTCACCCACCTCCTCCTGCCTCGTCCACTCTCACACAGACAACGGCAAGCATCTCCTCTCCGTCACCCAGGTAATACTCTGTCACCCAGGTAATACTCTGTCACCCAGGTAATACTCTGTCACCCAGGTAATACTCTCCGTCACCCAGGTAATACTCTTTGTCACCCAGGTAATACTCTCCGTCACCCAGGTAATACTCTGTCACCCAGGTAATACTCTCCGTCACCCAGCTAGTACTCTCCGTCACCCTGGTAATACTCTCCGTCACCCAGGTAATACTCTGTCACCCAGGTAATACTCTGTCACCCAGGTAATACTCCGTCACCCAGGTAATACTCTCCGTCACCCAGGTAATACTCTCCGTCACCCAGGTAATACTCTCCGTCACCCAGGTAATACTCTCCGTCACCCAGGTAATACTCTCCGTCACCCAGGTAATACTCTCCGTCACCCAGGTAATACTCTCCGTCACCCAGGTAATACTCTCTGTCACCCAGGTAATACTCTCTGTCACCCAGGTAATACTCTGTCACCCAGGTAATACTCTCTGTCACCCAGGTAATACTGTCACCCAGGTAATACTCTGTCACCCAGGTAATACTCTGTCACCCAGGTAATACTCTCCGTCACCCAGGTAATACTCTCCGTCACCCTGGTAATACTGTCACCCAGGTAATACTGTCACCCAGGTAATACTCTGTCACCCAGGTAATACTCTGTCACCCAGGTAATACTCTGTCACCCAGGTAATACTCTGTCACCCAGGTAATACTCTGTCACCCAGGTAATACTCTGTCACCCAGGTAATACTCTGTCACCCAGGTAATACTCTGTCACCCAGGTAATACCGTCACCCAGGTAATACTCTCCGTCACCCTGGTAATACTCTCCGTCACCCTGGTAATACTCTCCGTCACCCTGGTAATACTCTCCGTCACCCTGGTAATACTCTCCGTCACCCAGGTAATACTCTGTCACCCAGGTAATACTCTGTCACCCAGGTAATACTCTCCGTCACCCAGGTAATACTCTCCGTCACCCAGGTAATACTCTCCGTCACCCAGGTAATACTCTCCGTCACCCAGGTAATACTCTCCGTCACCCAGGTAATACTCTCCGTCACCCAGGTAATACTCTCCGTCACCCAGGTAATACTCTCCGTCACCCAGGTAATACTCTCCGTCACCCAGGTAATACTCTCCGTCACCCAGGTAATACTCTCCGTCACCCAGGTAATACTCTGTCACCCAGGTAATACTCTGTCACCCAGGTAATACTCTGTCACCCAGGTAATACTCTGTCACCCAGGTAATACTGTCACCCAGGTAATACTCTGTCACCCAGGTAATACTCTCAGTCACCCAGGTAATACTGTCACCCAGGTAATACTGTCACCCAGGTAATACTCTGTCACCCAGGTAATACTCTGTCAGGTAATACCCAGGTAATACTCTGTCACCCAGGTAATACTCTGTCACCCAGGTAATACTCTGTCACCCAGGTAATACTCTCTGTCACCCAGGTAATACTGTCACCCTACTCTCTGTCACCCAGGTAATACTCTCAGTCACCCAGGTAATACTCTCCGTCACCCAGGTAATACTCTCCGTCACCCAGGTAATACTCTGTCACCCAGGTAATACTCTGTCACCCAGGTAATACTCTCCGTCACCCAGGTAATACTGTCACCCAGGTAATACTCTCCGTCACCCAGGTAATGCTCTCCGTCACCCAGGTAATGCTCTCCGTCACCCAGGTAATACTCTGTCACCCAGGTAATACTCTGTCACCCAGGTAATACTCTCCGTCACCCTGGTAATACTCTCCGTCACCCAGGTAATACTCTGTCACCCAGGTAATACTCTGTCACCCAGGTAATACTCCGTCACCCAGGTAATGCTCTCCGTCACCCAGGTAATACTCTGTCACCCAGGTAATACTCTGTCACCCAGGTAATACTGTCACCCAGGTAATACTCTCTGTCACCCAGGTAATACTCTCAGTCACCCAGGTAATACTCTGTCACCCAGGTAATACTCTCCGTCACCCTGGTAATACTCTGTCACCCAGGTAATACTCTGTCACCCAGGTAATACTCTGTCACCCAGGTAATACTGTCACCCAGGTAATACTCTCCGTCACCCAGGTAATGCTCTCCGTCACCCAGGTAATGCTCTCCGTCACCCAGGTAATACTCTGTCACCCAGGTAATACTCTGTCACCCAGGTAATACTCTCCGTCACCCTGGTAATACTGTCACCCAGGTAATACTCTCCGTCACCCAGGTAATACTGTCACCCAGGTAATACTGTCACCCAGGTAATACTCTCCGTCACCCAGGTAATACTCTCCGTCACCCAGGTAATACTCTCCGTCACCCAGGTAATACTCTCCGTCACCCAGGTAATACTCTGTCACCCAGGTAATACTGTCACCCAGGTAATTCCGTCACCCAGGTAATACTGTCACCCAGGTAATACTCTCCGTCACCCAGGTAATACTCTGTCACCCAGGTAATACTCTCTGTCACCCAGGTAATGCTCTCCGTCACCCAGGTAATACTCTCCGTCACCCAGGTAATACTCTCCATCACCCAGGTAATGCTCTCCGTCACCCAGGTAATACTCTCCGTCACCCAGGTAATACTCTCCGTCACCCAGGTAATACTCTCCGTCACCCAGGTAATACTCTCCGTCACCCAGGTAATACTCTCCGTCACCCAGGTAATACTCTCCGTCACCCAGGTAATAATCTCCGTCACCCAGGTAATACTCTCCGTCACCCAGGTAATACTCTCCGTCACCCAGGTAATACTCTCCGTCACCCAGGTAATGCTCTCCGTCACCCAGGTAATACTCTCCGTCACCCAGGTAATGCTCTCCGTCACCCAGGTAATACTCTCCGTCACCCAGGTAATACTCTCCGTCACCCAGGTAATACTCTCCGTCACCCAGGTAATACTCTCCGTCACCCAGGTAATACTCTCCGTCACCCTGGTAATGCTCTCCGTCACCCAGGTAATGCTCTCCGTCACCCAGGTAATACTCTCCTCCGTCACGTCACCCAGGTAATGCTCTCCGTCACCCAGGTAATACTCTCCGTCACCCAGGTAATACTCTCCGTCACCCTGGTAATACTCTCCGTCACCCTGGTAATACTCTCCGTCACCCAGGTAATACTCTCCGTCACCCAGGTAATACTCTCCGTCACCCAGGTAATACTCTCCGTCACCCAGGTAATAATCTCCGTCACCCAGGTAATACTCTCCGTCACCCAGGTAATACTCTCCGTCACCCAGGTAATACTCTCCGTCACCCAGGTAATACTCTCCGTCACCCAGGTAATGCTCTCCGTCACCCAGGTAATACTGTCACCCAGGTAATGCTCTCCGTCACCCAGGTAATACTCTGTCACCCAGGTAATACTGTCACCCAGGTAATACTGTCACCCAGGTAATACTCTCCGTCACCCAGGTAATACTCTCCGTCACCCAGGTAATACTCTCCGTCACCCTGGTAATACTCTCCGTCACCCAGGTAATACTCTCCGTCACCCAGGTAATACTCTCCGTCACCCTGGTAATGCTCTCCGTCACCCAGGTAATACTCTCCGTCACCCTGGTAATACTCTCCGTCACCCAGGTAATACTCTCCGTCACCCTGGTAATGCTCTCCGTCACCCAGGTAATACTCTCCGTCACCCAGGTAATACTCTCCGTCACCCTGGTAATGCTCCGTCACCCAGGTAATACTCTCCGTCACCCTGGTAATGCTCTCCGTCACCCAGGTAATACTCTCCATCACCCTGGTAATGCTCTCCGTCACCCAGGTAATACTCTCCGTCACCCTGGTAATGCTCTCCGTCACCCAGGTAATGCTCTCCGTCACCCTGGTAATGCTCCGTCACCCAGGTAATACTCTGTCACCCAGGTAATACTGTCACCCAGGTAATACTCTCCGTCACCCAGGTAATACTCTCCGTCACCCAGGTAATACTCTGTCACCCAGGTAATACTCTGTCACCCAGGTAATACTCTCCATCACCCAGGTAATGCTCTCCGTCACCCTGGTAATACTCTCCGTCACCCTGGTAATACTCTCCGTCACCCTGGTAATGCTCTCCGTCACCCAGGTAATACTCTCCGTCACCCTGGTAATACTCTCCGTCACCCAGGTAATGCTCTCTGTCACCCAGGTAATACTCTCCGTCACCCAGGTAATACTCTCCGTCACCCTGGTAATGCTCTCCGTCACCCAGGTAATACTCTCCGTCACCCTGGTAATGCTCTCCGTCACCCAGGTAATACTCTCCGTCACCCAGGTAATACTCTCCGTCACCCAGGTAATACTCTCCGTCACCCAGGTAATACTCTCCGTCACCCAGGTAATACTCTCCGTCACCCAGGTAATACTCTCCGTCACCCAGGTAATACTCTCCGTCACCCAGGTAATACTCTGTCACCCAGGTAATACTCTGTCACCCAGGTAATACTCTCCATCACCCAGGTAATGCTCTCCGTCACCCAGGTAATACTCTGTCACCCAGGTAATACTCTCCGTCACCCAGGTAATACTCTGTCACCCAGGTAATACTCTCCGTCACCCAGGTAATACTCTCCGTCACCCAGGTAATGCTCTCCGTCACCCAGGTAATACTCTCCGTCACCCTGGTAATGCTCTCCGTCACCCAGGTAATACTCTCCGTCACCCTGGTAATGCTCTCCGTCACCCAGGTAATACTCTCCGTCACCCTGGTAATGCTCTCCGTCACCCAGGTAATACTCTCCGTCACCCTGGTAATACTCTCCGTCACCCAGGTAATACTCTCCGTCACCCAGGTAATACTCACAACACTTTTACTATCATATATGCAAGGAAGAAATATATAACAAAAACTCTTCTGTTAAAATCTATTCCCTGGTCACGGAAAAATAGAAAATGTTGTGTCTCTGGCCCTGGTGAAGTGAGCAAATATTGTAGAGTCACGAGTCATGGACGTTCATGGAGCCATTGCCTCAAAGAGGTCGCAATGGGGCCATTGAGAACCTATTTATTTAGGTTTTTGTATTTTTATTTTTTCAGAAATATTCAGTAGTGTAATTTGAGAAATTTATGATAAAATATGTATAATAAAAGAGGAATGCAGATATATTTGTCATTAATATGCAGGCAATATTTTATGCTTTGAACAATAAGACACTGTTTTTGTTATTGCCCTCTCTAAACATGTTAGGTATAACTACATTTTTATGCACATAACGATGCACTCAGCAGTTCCGGTGGATGGGGTAACCACATAATCCAAGCACAGCACAGCATAGCACCACACACTAGTGTACCATCCCACGCCACCTGACACAGCCTCCCAACACACTACGGACATTATATAACTGGCAACAACACTTGTCAGGACCCTGGGGCCAGATTCACGAAGCAGTTACGCAAGTACTTATGAATTTTTTTTATTTTTTTTTATTTAAATGCAGGCATGCAATTAAATACAATAAAACATAGGAACATAACAACAAAGCAAAACAGAAAACCACCGGCCAGAAGGACCGACAGCACAGTACAACAATAAGCATAACTGGAGAAAACGCAAGAGAAACACACCATACATCAAGTTAAGAACATAACACAAAATATAAGACAATGTAAACAAGCAATCATGCAAGCAATAATGACAAGAAAACAAAACATAGTAACATATCAAACAGAAGCACCAGGCAGAAGGACCGACAACAAAGCACATCATGAAGTACAACATGAAAGATAACACAAGAAAATCATAACATACAGCAAGCCATAAACAAAAAACAATACAACACGTAAGGCAGAAATATAACACACAGGGCACATTAGCAATACAAAACAAGCACATGAACAAGAACATGCCAGCAAACCACCAGCCTCGCAACAAACATAGGGAGAGGCACAAGCACATTACACAATAGGGCAAGCAAATAGCCAGAGGGGCATACAGCACTACAGAAAGCACATAAACAGGAAATCAGTGGACATACTTGCTCGGAAACCTTGCCAACAGGAACCACACATTGAACACTTCCTAGAGCAACCACCGCCGAGGGTCTCGCCCATCCACTGGGGAAGCCATAACATCCGGAACCCCGGAAACAAACACCCGCAAACAGGGAACCCAGATGACATTACAGACGAGGCGAGTTGCCCCCACGCGTCCCCACAGGAAGGGAACCTGCCCACCAAGAAAGTTCTCCGGTTCGTCAGACAGCACTAACTTGGCAACTGTTTTCAAGTGACCCGGCAGCATCACAGACGCCGGTAACACGTCCCCCAGGGCCCCAACGTGCATCCTCACATGAACGAGCGTGACAGAAGGCACCACCACAAGGGCACTCGCAGCCACGGGCACACCACCAGACAACTGCAGGGAACCTGGACGGCGTGCATCCTTTCGTAATGTCATCACCAGGCCACGCCCAGCACCAGTATCCACACCATCCCTGGCAGTGAAAGCCACCACCCCCTACTGCGGAGAGCCCTCTGGTGGAGAAAGAACAGAAGGTACGTCCGAGACACGGGCACCAGTACCAGCAGGCACATGGACCTCCGCCACCACCAATTGCGTACACATCTACGCATCCGGATCCACACCGTCAACACCCGAAGACCCACAGTCACTGAAGTCACCAACATCGGCCCAGGCAAAAGACGAACGCCGGGAACGTTTGGGCTCCGGCCGGATATCGTCCGAGCCGGGTGAGGACCTACAAACACTGGCACCACTAGCCGGACGAACCGCTGCCGACACAGAACAGCAGCAGCCTCAACCACAGAGGGAACTGGACCGCACACAGTGGGAGGCGGCACCGCCACCCAGCACCCACCACAGACGGAAGTCACGGAACACAAGGCGAGGGCGCAGGGCCAGGTGCAGGAGCAGAAGACGAGGAAGAGGAGAGTGCCAACGACGCACAGAGATCGCTCGTAAGGCTTTCGGGAGCAGCGGGGACAGGGACAGGATCAGAAAGAACATCCGACGGCACAACAACTCCCGGAGGAGAGTCCGCAACAACCGAAGGAAGGACAGGTGATGCAGGGGGAGCTGCAGCATCCAACAGGATATTCACCTCTTCACCCCCGGAATCCTCCTCCAGAGGGAGCGGCGGGAAATCCTCTTCCTTGAACATGTTCACGGAAACAGCTGCAGCCTCAATGCACTCGGCAGCCTGATGTCCCAACAGGCTACAACGAAAACATGTCTGTGGTTGCCAGGCATAGTACACCCGTACGTAGTACCCTAAAAGCCGGACAGAGGATGGAATGTCCGACCTCAGGCGCATCCCTAGGGTACGAATGTTGGTCTTTACACCCGTATACTTGCCAGAAGACAGCGTGTGCATCAACACACTAATAATGGTGCCAAACTGCTGGAAGAAACGCCGGAGGAGAGTCTCGGGAAACTCCATGGGGGCCCTATGGACACTCACATACGTCATGGCACCGCTACGATCTGAAATGAACACAGATCCGGTGCCATCCTGCAGCTGCAAGATACGTCCCTCGTACTGCCGGAGAAAGTCACGGTACGCCTCTCCTCCCACAAACTTGATAGCCACATGGTGAGCAGTTACCAGCTCAACACCGTAGATTTCCATGACCGGGATATGGAGCATGTCACACATGACCATCTCCACGACAGGGTATCCCGCACAACCAGTAAACTCCAAACTTAGAGTTGACCCTCACAACAGGGAGGAGATGGCCGCCCATTGCAAAAGTGCCACGCCCACACCAACCAGGAACAGCAGGGAGGGTAGAGACAACCACACCCCCTGCCGACGAAAGCGGCAAACACCCCAACTACCGGAGAGGCCAGGCGACACGTCAGCACCTCACGGCAGCTAGAGCGCAACTTTACTTATGAGCTTGTACATCTTTCCTCAATCTTTGACGACTTTGTTTACATTTATTAAACAGTTTACAAGCATGAAAATTTCCCATTCAACTGTTCTTATTGTTATAAACAGCCTCCTGGTGCTTTGGAGCTCATTAACTGTTTAATAATTGTAAACAAAGCCGCCAAAGATTGAGAAAAGATGAACAGGTTCTTAAGTACCACCACTTAAGAACTTTACGAAGTAACTGCTTCGTAAATCTGGCCCCTGGTCAATAAATCCTGAATTTGAATAAATTTCCATTTTTTTTTTTTTTAAGGAATACAATGTCCTATTTGATGCATAAATAGCCCAAACTGATATCTGAACCTTATACAGCCCGTTGATGCCATGAGGGGGCTTAGTGGGCAGTTGCCAGAGTGTGATGCTCCTTGGGACAGTCCTCTGTCCTTTTCTAGCCTTGTGCTCCTGCTGCCGTCCTCTCCAATTGTGCTGAGCACCTTTTCCTTCCGTTTTGTTTTTCTCCCCCTCTTCTTCCATCTGCTTGCCGTTTCCTGCCGACCTTTTGCTTGTTTTGGTTATTCCTTTGGACTTCTTCTATTTTGACGCCTGGGTGCTTGACGAGGCATACTCTTGCACCCGTAGAACTGTAGTACCCAACGTCGAGAGCGAGGGGAACGTTTTATTGTCAATCCCCCTTTCATCACTGAACCCGATCTCGATGGACTGTCGGTTCTTAAGGTCGCGTTTGTGGGGCGTATACTCACAACGCACCCCTAGGAGGCCCCGGCATGATCGGCGATAGCTTCTTGTTGGGTGTCCTGCCTCTAATTGTGGCTCCATGGTGGGTGTGGGGGCACATTCGTGAATGAATGTTGCTTTTTCATAGCAATGATATCTACTGTGTGACGGGAAAGCGTTGGAGTGTAGATGTTCGGCAGTCCTCCAATGGCAGGTGTCAATGCCTGGTCACACATAAAACAAAAAGATAGACTGCTTGCCTGTTGTCTGTGGTAAGTGAGAGGGAGGAACACGTAAAACACAAAGTATGAACAATGAAACTTTAATATATTTACGTTAAACATAAATGAAAATAAAGACAAATCTCGGGGGAATGAAAATACAATTAAATAACAAAGATAAATGCAAAGACAATGTGTGAGACAATAGTATGAAGGTGAAATAGTAAAATGGTGCTGAGAATATCGGCTATGGCTGAGACCTCCCTTCGTATACAAGCCAGTGAGCTTAGTATGCCAGAGAGAGATGTCAACTCTAAGAGCACAAAGAATATTCTGAAGTTGATAGCTGGTCAGGGCTCCGACATCGATTCAGGTAAATGGCGCGGAGGTGCAGTGTGCAGGTGCACGGTCGGCGAGTCACCAATCAGGAGCAGGCAGGCTGGTATGGGTAGTTTGCTGGTTTGACGACAAGCCGGCGTGGAGGGTGTGTGGAGTAGGGGGAATCTTGGGTACGTTTTGCCTCCTGGTCAAAACGTTTTGTGCTACCGGTGACGTATCTTGAATGTAGCATCTTATACTTGTTAACTGGACGTAACTTGAGGTAAGGAAGAGCAGGCTCAATCTCTCTAGAAAGAGATTATCGTCACAACTGTTACTGCTGTTTCTCCTTTACCTTCTCAGGCTCGTGGGGTGGGCGACCAAGCCCCCGAGTCGGTCCGTGTTGGAAGACTGGGCTCTGTAGCCTCCGCTGCATTGGGCCCCGACCTTGCTCCTCCTTTGGCCTCTCTGACTCCTCCCCTCGGCTCCCCTCCCTCCTCTGTGGTTGGGTCGAGCCCCAAGCCCCCAGTGGTGACTACCTCGTCCCCTGCCGCGGCTCCATCTCTAGTTGTAACTACTGCGCCTTTTAACCCCTCTCTCTCTCTGGGGGTTCTCACCGCCGTCTTCGTCATGGCCGCCCTCGCTCGATTCCTTCCCGTTCTGCTACCTATCAAACTTTGTTAGGTCCCGCTTTGTGGGCCAAATATTTTGATCTCCTCCCTCTTGATTCTGCGCCTCCTGACGTTTTTTCCCTCCATCTACATCTCGCTGATTCCGTGGATGCCTCTGTTACTTTCATCCCCATTCGTCTCGGTACACGTGTCGTTGCTGCTCCTTCTCAGGATGCAGCTTCCTGCTTGGCTGCCTTATCCTGCCTTGGCGAGACCCCTGTTTGGGTCTCAAAGAACGTTCAGTTGAATGCCAGTGTTGGCACTATTCTCCTCCCGCCCCATGTTGTGACCGGTGTTCGGGATCTGCGAGACTGCCACGACGATATTCGACATATCCTTGCTGCCCAGGGCCATTCTATTCTCCAGATGGACACGTTTACTCGTCCCCCTCGTAGTAGTCGCCATCAACCCCTTCGGGATGTGAAGATTACCTTTGATGGTCGGACCCTTCCACCCTCTGTCATTCCTGCTGGTGCCAGGTGCTCAGGTGTACATTCCTTCTCCTAGGCTCTGTAACAAGTGCTGGAGGTTTGGGCATGGTGCCCTCCACTGCTCTGTGACTCTCTCTCTCTGTCCTTTGTGTGGTGGCGAAGGTCACTCTAAGTCGGAGTGCACTTCTCCCCGAGCTCGTTGCCTCAACTGCGGTGAGGCCCATCCTACCTTCTCCTGTGCGTGTGTCCATTACAAGCTTGAGGCAGCTGTCCTCAACTTGAAGCACCGGGAGCGTTTATCTTTTCTTGAGGCGAGGCGCCAGGTTCGCCGGCTCCCGCCTTATGCTAATATCTCTTATGCTCGCGTGTTGCGCTCTTCCTCTCCTCATTCTTCCCACCTTCCTCAGACTCTCAACCGTTTCCGGGCCTTGGACCCTGATACACCCACTGCCCCCTCCTCTGTTCCTTTGAGTTCTGTCCTGAAGGATCCACCTCCTGGTCCTCTGTCTGGGGTTCCCCTCCTTTCTACTCGGTCTGTCTTGTCTCCTGTGTCTTCTTCCTCATCTCCCTCCGTTCCTCCTTCCCCTCCATCTCTTGACTCTCCCCACCGCCTGTCAGTGCGGGCCGATGTCCATCGCTCTCCAAACGGCAGTCGCGTGTGCTCTCATTCGGCTTCTCCTGTTGAGACGCTAGAATCCGTTGCCCAGTACGTAGTTGCTGGGACGCCTGTCTCTTTACGTCAGAAGCGTAAGCCTGGCTCCTCTCCTTCCTCCTCCCAGGCAGGTAAGAAGATTTCGCTTTCTTCTTCGGCCCCTACTTCTGCCTCTATCGCTCCTTCCCCTCCCATTTCGGTGGTTGCGCCCCCTGTTCCTGTTATGGAGGTTTCTTTGGCCCCCACTTCCCTCTCGGTTGCTGCCCTTGCTGAGGTGCACTCCCCTCTTTCTATTTCCCCTCTTCCTGCTGCTGTCCTTGACTACTCCACTCCATTGTCTCCTCCTCTTCCTCCTCCTCCTCTTCCGTACCCCGCCCGCCCCCCTCTGGTCTGTTCTCTTGCTTCCTTCCCTCCATCTTTGCTCAGTTTACCTATGTCCCCTAACCCTGACTTTGCTGACCCTAATCCCGACCCTGATATTCTTTAACGTGCTATATTGCTCTTTCGCCTTTGTTTCTTCCTTATTCTCTGTTGTAGTCCTTTCTCTTCTCCTCGATGTCTATTCTTCAATGGAACATTCGAGGATATTACGCCAATTTCCTCGAACTCCAACTTCAGATTTCGCGGTTTTCGCCCCTTTGTGTCTGTCTCCAGGAGCCGATGCTTGGTGCTCGTCCTGGTCGTTTTCGTTACTATTCCTTTCTCTTCCCCCCCCCCCCAGCTGTTGCTGGGGCTCCTAATTCTTCTGCTCTCTTGATTCGCACTGATGTTCCCTTTGTCCCCTTACTTTTTCCTTTGCCTCTCCATTGTTCTCCTGCTCGTATCTTTGTGGGGAAATGGTACACAGTTTGTTCCATTTATCTCCCCCCCGAGTGTCCCGCTTTCGCTTCCTGATCTGAAACATCTCCTGGACTCCTTGCCGAAGCCTGTGCTCCTGCTAGGTGATTTCAATTGTCGTCATTCTCTTTGGGGTGATGGTCTGACGAATACCCGAGGTCGCCTTCTTGAGCCGTTTATCCTCTCTTCTTCCCTGTCTCTTCTGAATACTGGTGAGCCCACTCATTTGGACTCTCGGACTCGCACCCTTTCCTGTGTTGATCTTTCTCTTTGCTCATCTTCTCTTTACTTAGATTTCATGTGGCAGGTTCTTGATGACCTCCATGGCAGTGATCATTTCCCCATCCTTGTTTCCTTTTTTCTCTTTTCGTCCTTCCCTCTCCTTTCCTAGATGGCAGTTTGCTAAAGCGGACTGGAACCTATTTACCCTCACCGCTGCCCTCCACTCTATTCCTCACTCTTCCTCTCGGGTTCCGTGGAAGTGCGTTCCCTGGTAGAATGCAGACTGTGCTCGGGCTGTCAGCTGTAAGCGTGCAGCCTGGAAGAGGCACCGCCGTCGGCAGACGGCCGATTCTTTTTTTTTTCAGAAAGCGAGTGCGGTGGCCCGTAGGGCCATCCGTATGGCTAAACGTGAAGGTTGGGCATCTTATGTCTCCACAATTACGTCCGAAACTCCCCTGCCACATCTCTGGAAGCATATCCGCAAGAAAGCGGGTAAGTTCGTACCCGATGTTTCATCGGTCCTTCACCTCCGTGGTACTCTTGTGGCGGACCTGTTGCAGGTTGCTACTGAACTGGGCTCCCACTTTTCTTCTGTTAGCTCTGGTCTTCATCTTCCCCAATCTTTCCTTCTTCGTAAACCTGTCCTTGAGTCTCGTCCTTTATATTTCTGCATTCGTCTTCGACTTTCCTATAACGATCCCTTCTCTCTCTCTGAACTTCATTGTGCC